GATATCAAAGCAAACAGAATTGTGCGGGAGAATAAACAATTTGAAGATAACGGTTAGTGCGAATATTCAAGCTTTAGAGGATGTCGAGGAGTGAATACATCTGCGCCATTGTGACCAATTTTCAGCCATGTCACTAGGAGTTCTTAACCACTCATTCATTTCGTCCCGGTGACCCTAGCCAGTCTACAGTCTACATCGTCCGCATACAACTCAGACTAATAGTAAGAGACTTCATCGACTGGCTTTAGGTCATGGTGTGACCACCATAAACACTCTTCCAGCCTAATCGAGTTTCCGCCGGCATGGCACGTCGAAGTAGGTGGTGGATCGGTATGCCCAGTACATGTCCAAGCCTATGATGAAAACAAACAAGCACTACAATTCAAAAGGATGGGAGACTTTGACATCATATCATCAAACAAGCACAACACAAAGGTGATTAGGCAGCCTATTGATTCTTAGCAGTTCTATTGGCTGAAACAACAATTATCCTGTTGGTACAAAGCATGTACAAATTTCATACCTTTTATACGCATCAACTTACGAAATGAATATGGGAATACTTAGTACGTGAACAACAATAACACAGCAAAGAAACTTTTGAAGGTGCACATAATCAAATAGGTTTCCTTAGAAGGAGAGAAAAAAGACAATATAAATGTATAGAACAAGTATAGTTGAACTAATGATGTAATAGTAAGAAGTAATGTAACTCAACCTCGTATATGTTCATATAGTAGGCTATGAGTCACACTAGTTGCATAACGGTTTATGATACTATCCGGCTTCCCAGGCTGATGGAGGGGGAGTAGGTTTCAAACTCAGGACCTATTGCTTGAAAGCTGAGTTCATAAGCCAAATGAGCCACCAACTTGTAAAGTTACATCAAGCGTTTCTTGTTCACTAGATTTCATATTCACGCTATTTGGAACAAAAGTAGTTCAGATAGCAATCGAAGTGGTATAAAAAAAGAGCAACAACTATTATTATTTGCATGCTGCATATAGTCAAAGGATTTAATCGGTACAAATGCATAAACAACAGGAACGTATTCAATTTAACTCAGCTGTTAAGCGTGTTTATCAGCCAACATTAGTTATTATAACAAAACAAAATCAGTAGAGCATGAATGTACCAGTGTGTTTATTGAAAGATGTGTATGAAGTTAATACTGAAAAAATTCAAATATTTCATGGTACTAGACATCATGAAAAGACGTCAATTGGAGAATTATTGAATACCTGTGAGCGCTGGACAGCTGTTTCGCCATCGTATGAGACTCCTCAGCAGTGCATGTCAACAACCACACAAGGGATCGAACCTAAAACCATAAGATCTCGTGGCGAGCACATTACCATTCAGCCACTGCGTTGAAATCTAATGGTTCACACTTTTCGACTTCTGTCAGTTCGCGTTAAATAGTGACAATTCATCTAATTCTATCGGTGGGTCTTTATTCCCCACTTTTAACTAGCCTCAAATTATGATGCTATATAACCCATTCATTTTAAGAGTCTAACTCAAACCAATATGCCTTCCAAAGAGTACAGACCAATTCAAAACTGTATAAATGATGTAATATGAAGTTGCATAAACCCGAAACAAAGCAAAAAATGCAAACCCAACTCTATGTAACTGTGCATAGAATTGCTTACTATTGTTAGTTGTGAACCAAGCCCAATATGGATGCTTACACCAAAGTAAGATGAGCTATAAATCCGATCGCATAGCTTATATGATCGACGAAAGGAATATCAAATATACAGTAAACAAGCGTATAGTTAACTAAATAATTAATTAGATAAGACACCCAATTTTTATTAAAAATTCTAAGCAAACTAAAGAAAAGAGACAGGTGTATTAGTTCAATTTGTCGGTTTGTTTTAAAATGAGATGATTAAAACAAAACAACTGTAACAGTTAACTCTGACCCATGATTTTAATGTGCAATCGTTGAAATCAGTGAAAAGTGGTCACCCGTACACAAACTGCGTGTGTCTGCAAGAATGATATAAACGTTAGCGGTAAGGAGACAGAGAGACAGTGAAATGAGGATCTGGGGAAGTTATCTAAGGTGAGAAAATTAAACTTGCAGATTATAATCTTGATTGGTTATTTCAGTTTTATATGTAAGGCACACATGAACCAATGACGCAATTACCTTCGTAGAAATGATCTCCATTAGAATACTGACCAATTCCTTTATTATACGAAGACATGTCAGAAGCATTCAAACCACATGGCATACTCACACCAGATGTGAGTAAACAATCCTGTGAACTTAAAACACTACATGTTCGAGGCGGTGGACACGGACGTGACAAACCGCCCGGTTTTCTATTCAAACTATACTGACTTATTGCTTGTATATGTCTTAATCGGGTAGGTTTCGGTTGAATTGGTGGTGGCGGATTATTGACGACAAAAAGCGAAGAGTTGACTGTATGACAAGCATTCTGACGTAATATGGAACCATTATTAGGCGGTGGTTGTCGAATCAAGTTTGTATTCAAGGTCGCCTGATATCCGACTCAAATACAGCATGACAAGTTGGAGTACACAGGGGATATTTACTGGAATCCATATGATCGTCGTCAGACAATAACTTCTGAGCACAAAAAGACTGCGGTGTGAAAAAATCTTGTCGTCTGTAGTTTGCAGTCTCATTGGAATCACCATTATCAGCATCATCGATTTCACTTAGTGTGAAACAACTATCAACAGTATTTATCGCTTTGCTTACATCACGATTGCATGATGTTAGTTTATCGGTAAGATAACAACTAGCACGATTTTCTGCGCCAGATGATACTGTCGACAGACAGTAATTAGTCATTACAACACTGTTGTCTAGGTGATTGTCCATATATTGGGAAGTAATTTTGCCTAGCATCCTACTATTATTATCAACTGAATCAGCCGATGTTAAAAAGTGTATTAATTTTTTTAAAATGATTATTTAGTGTTTTTCGTTCATTATTTAGATGACCAGAATAAGTGAAATAAGGGGTTTGTTGAAAGCAGAAGATCAAATATATATGTGCATATAGATATCCACAGCAAAGTGCAGATATAAAACACATTTTTATGTGTAATTAAAATATTGTGTTTGTATTCAAAAAAACCACCATACAAAACCAAACAGGACAAAAAAAAGGGAAAGCGAACAAACCGAACCGAATCGAACCAAACGAGGAGGGAGAAAGACAAGTATGAAAGAAAATAGCAATAGTGAATGAGTAACAGTTATCGTTTGGAGGAAAAAAATTAATTACTATCATTACTACTATCCAAGAGTATAAACTTTTTATTGCATCAAAAAACACTTCGGATCCGGTCTACATGACAAATTCAGTATCAACCAGTTGGTACAAAACTAACGACCGGAGACTGTGGAAGGTTTGACCATCAGTGGACACACATACACGATTTTGTTGGTAATGAAATTCAGAAACCAAAGTTCACGTAGTCAACATGTCAGAAATTGAGACTACATACGTATTCTTCACGGCTGATATATTCAAACCAGGATGATAAGTATCTTAGTGCACCCTAGTTGACTTGAACGTATGCCAGCCAGTGCTGAAGCTAAGCTATTAAGGCAACAACCAACCCTCCTGTAGGACTGAAACATGTACATGAAGTGGTACAGTACAGCACTCACTGCAGTCTGTGGATCAGGCCTTGAAATATATACATATCTTAAGAGGATATATTTCATCATTTGAAAACGTTCTCTCAAAAAGCAAACATTTGTTTGATAGTATTACTTTTTTAGACATTTTATAAGCTTACTCTTGTAGGTGCTAATCAACCGTCGGATGATCTTACCATAGACAAATGGTGGGGTAATAAGTGTCCAAGTAAAACGATTAAGCCCATAGCCAATGTTACACCTTGAAAAATAATTCATCATACATGTCAACAGGCATCCGAATATGGAATATACGACAGATCGAAAAATGGGTCTAACGAGACTACTTGCATCAATCAACTGTACATGTTAGCGAGAAGTCTGAGTAATCCAAAACGCTAAACCATTATACCAACTACCTTACGTGTAGTCTATCAGCGATACATTTAATTTGATTCACTTTAGGGATCTCTATGTTGTACAAAGCAATTTGAATTCCATAAAAAATATTTCTTTTTATGAACTTTAAAAGAGCAGAATAACATCCCACTATTTCATTTTGCCTTTCACCAGATAGACACACTAAAAATCAGATCGACTTCATCTCGATCTGAAGAAAGTAGAGACGCAGCCTATTGGACGCAAGATCAAGAAGGGGAGCAGATGTAGGTTCACACCACTCACTATCTAGTGCGACGAATCTTCAAAATCAAGTTGGTGATAGACCACAGTTCAAGTTCAACACCCAGAACTGAAACTGAAGCATGGAAGTACAAAGGATATCTTCACGTCAGTCAGTCACCAGGAAAATATGGGAAACCTGTGTAGAAGAACACTAGAACTCTATGACAGCAAGTTGGAAGGAAACCTGCACAACCGTGTTAGGAAGGAAGAATAAGAGGCAAAACAAGGAATGGATCTCAACGGACACGTGGAAGCTGATAGAATAGGGAGAGGGAGATGGTGAAGCAGAAGATGAACCAGTGGAGTGCAGTGCAGGGATGAACAACGAAAACAGAAACTGAATACAACATAGAAAACACTACACTGGCAAAGAAGTGAAGAGGAGTGCGTAGAAAGTCGAAAAACACTTCTACGACACACTGGCAAGTGAAGTAGAATAGGCTGCAGGTAAGAGAGATCTGACATTATATCAAATAAGCAGGTTACTATCTGCTACTGAACCCCTATGTTCCACTAGGAACCCAAGGGACAAATAATAATAATAATAATTTCATTTCTTCAATTCCAACAAAATTAAACTTATATATGACAAATATGGTTGCACAACACAATTTCTAGTAATCGTGCAACTTCGAACACAGAAAACAGAATACAAATTGTCATGAACTAATGTAGAACTTGCCTGGCATGACTTGATCAAGTTCTTCCATCTCTATACTAAATGGATCTGTTCCATTGGTTTGATGACCCGGCAGGTTGCTGACAGTAGTGATAGTGCCACCATCAGGACCTGGAACATTGTCCAAATGATGTTTTGAACTGAAACAAGAACTAGATAAACTTGTATTACTAGATAATTTATCAATTTGATTCTGTAGCAATGCTGATGGATCAGTGTACTGTTCTCCACCACGTGATGGGTTTAATCCGGAATCATTTACGTGAAGTTTATTCAAGCTTCCTGAAGCAGACCAGTTAGTATAGTTACCATTTTGAGTACTATGCATGGCTTGATTTTGTGTTGTATTCGTAGACATTGAATTATGATGCATCTGTTGATGAGGGTAGTGATGACAAGTGGCTTTTATATCATTCTTGGCATAACGAAGTCTTTCTAATGTAGTATTATCAACATTTTCATAGGAATGAATAATAGGCAACTGTGACATAGAGAATTTACGTTGAGCTGCATGCGCTAATTGAGTAAGATTTGTGTAGACCGGTGGTGGTACAGCTTGTTTCGGATATAGTACAGCAGATGAATCAACACCACTGTCCTTGGAAGAAGCTTTTCCAACTTTAAGCATTCAAAAAAAAGAAAGATTAAAGAATGGAGGTAGGAACAAGCACTTTTTTAAAGATGAACAAGTAACAACTAACAACAGTAACTGGTGCTTCAATATACAATATGCATAACTTTAGCTTACAACTTAACAATCTGATGGTACAAATTTATAGTTTGAGCCACACTTAGTCCCTAGGGGAAATAAATGCAGTATGATTTGAGCATAGAAACGTCATTATTATCAATGATATAGAATCATGCTAAAAGTGTCATTATCTGAAGCTTGATGGCGAAAACAAGGACCACATAGAGGTCAATGGAGTATGCTATGAAATAAATTCACCTTTTGAGAACTAATGTTGACACAGATGCCAGGTGCTAAAGACCCTATAAGTAACACCAACCACAACTGAACAAACAACAGCAGACATCTTTCTATTCACTAGTAAACAAATCTTAAAAGCAAGGAAACCAGCTGTCAAATGTCATATCAGCATCTGAATAATAATCGAATAAGTATGCTTTGCAATGCAACTGAAAAAATCATTAGGCTTGGTCTCAATCCCTTGTGGGGCTACGGGTGTGCACAACTAAGGGGTCCCGAACTAGGATAAAACAGCTATTCAATTTCTTCAAGCAGTCAAATGTACTCCGAATGATGTCAATCGCTGATAAAAACTACTTTAAAAGTATTGAATCTCAGTCACATGCTTCGAGACAGACATCCTGGATTCCTGTTGAGAGGTAATGACTTTTGGAGAACATTAGATTCCCACTCTAATAGGTGAATGGTAACATGGTAACTGAGAGACCCCACAGTCCTAGACTCGATTCATCACACAATCTTGGGTGTGGATTGATGAATTTCAAACCAATAAAAGAAACAGTTCCTCAGTGCCCATTTTTGTTAGTGGTTGTTTTGATAAGTTGATAACGCAGTCGTTTGTTTCTTCGGTTGTAGGTGCTTCTGAGATTTTGAGTAGCTTTTTTCTGAGGACTTCCTCAGTGCTTCAATGTTTCCAACGGTTTCCTAAAATGACTTCAAGCGGTGATGAAAACCGCCTTCACATCAATCAATCGATCCCCATAAAATATCAATTTGGACTAGCCAGCAAGTCTTTCTGTTTTTACCACTGTTTAAGTAACCGCTAGACATTTATTGCATACATTATAATCACTAGCCTTGTTTCCAATTGATACGGTTACTAAGTAGTACAAACATTCTACGGATAATGTAAACAAGAGAACAGTGAGCAAAAAACGCCTTCTTAACCAACACTCTCCAGTCATTCAAAACTGAGGTGAAGCTCATGCGCATGCATGTGTATGTTTTCACATTCAGTGAGAACAAGGTTGAGATATACATCAGCCAATAGAAAGATATTAACATTAGCAGCGGCAAATATGAATAGAACATAGTAGTGTTATTTTGACACAGAAAACCAGGAGTCCACATTTTTGGAAACTTGACAAATCAGTGAACACAATTAATCAGTGAGAAAATAAGTTTGTGCATGGGAATGCAATTCAGAAACCATATGTGCGTTCTCTCAGTAAACAAATTAGCCCAGACCCTGGTAGGTGGCCAACTGATTAAAAGTCAAGAGGCTAAAACAATGAACCAGAGCTCAAATACAATTTACTGTTTTAGGTAATTACAAAACAAACTGCACACAGAGGAGTTGAATAAAGAAAATGGTCAATAATGGTAACGATATGAACATATACTAGAATTTTCCTGCCGATATACTCTAACATATGGATACAAAAAAAGTACACCGCTCTAATGGGTGCACTACAATGAGAAGTTTGTCACAAAAATCAATCAATCTCTAAGACACCGTAAAATGGCATCAGTTACAATTCAGGGACTGATAGTACATAAGTCCTTTTCGCATAGTAAGAATACATCCGGTTTGATATTTTCTTCAAAACCTTCAATAGCCAGTTTTTACTAACTTAGAGACATCAACCCGTGAGTCTACGGATACACCTACAAATGATTAGATTGGTAGTATTTTAGTTGGATAACCCTAAGGCTTTGAGAACCGTACTTTTACTTCGATAATTATCGCATGGATTATGCATATTCTAGCAATGACTCTGTAGATGGCTATATCATACAGCTGATTTGTTAGGATATCCTACATGAACCGAACGGTAACATAACTGGCAAATAGTGGGTGAACGTTCTGTTTATACGTTTCGAGTTAATCCGTAAATACTCCATGAGTATTGGTTAAACCCCCTATACGAAACAGTTAGTAAACTGGACTATTGTAGATCACATAGAAAGACTAGACCTGTATGCGCACCAATTATGGAAGCAGGATATTGCATTTACTCGTGTCGAATTCATGCCAAGCATCCTCATATTTTCAGTCAAATGTTCAAAAGACAGGATTTCATCAGTAGCACCTTTGATTAAAAGATTGTCGATAAACAAACCGACATATAACTATGAACGAAAAGCTCCCAAATCAAGCTGCCACACTTCCCTGAGATGTAGGTGGTAGTAAAATTTCCCGCTTGATGAATATTGATAAAGAGTACGAAACGAAACACTTGTTGTGACTAAGGTACCAATCGATAAGCTGTGAAACAAAAATAAGAGAGCTAGTAAAAAAATCCATTTACAACTAAATATACAAAATCAGTATTAACTTCTACGAGGAACTTTCAGAGTACTCTGAATCAAAAAGTTTGGCGTCGACTTCTTGTCAAAAGACACAGTGAGCATGAGCAATGCTCATAATTTAGTACTGGTGTGTTGTTGACTGTTTCTATCACTGTTTTTACGACGGATTACCAAAACAAAGATAATCATTTCTATAGACAGGTGAATCAACGTTGAACTTTGTACAGAAGTACATCAGTTCAAGTTGCCGCACTTCGCAAAAGTAAAAAAGAAATAATGAAAAACAACATACAGAAATATTGATTGCAATGGACAAAGTATACCACAGAGGAAAGATGATGAAAGTTAGTGAAAATGTCCAAAATGTCCAAGATGGTAAGGAGTTAGTACTATGATTAGTTTTCAGATTTTGATCACTGAGAGTCCCCGATATACTGGGGACTCCAGGTCATATGGCTCACAGTATTAATCACCCATATTATGGAATGTTGTCGTGTTTTAAACTGGCTATCGCTAGTTTTTTTCCAAACCTAATAGATATTTACGGTTTGAAACTAAAATACGGTGGAGAATATTTGTAGCTAAGGTGGACGGTCTTCAGCACTGAAGATGTCGTCTAGAAAGATGACGAAAGCTCCACGAGTAAACAACTCAGCTCATAGAACACAATACAACCAAGAAACTAAAATATCTACAGCTCCTATAAAGATAATACATGAGGTGTAATTGAAACCTACTAATGCGGAGCTGACCATTGATAATCTTCAACTTCTTCCTATTGAAATAGAACAAATACAACCGTACACATAGATGAAAGAAAGTGCTAGATATAATTACCGTCCTATCGTCGCTGATGAGAATAATAAAATATCTCCTATGAATACAAATAAAAGGTAATCCGAGAACTAAACCAATGTATTTAGCCGGTGTAGTCAGTTAGAAAATACCCCACATAGACGTGAACTGTGACACTCCACAAAACTAGCAGTAGTTACTAATGCAACTGCATGCTATATGGAGAAAAATACAATGAAACCAGCAGTCTGAAAAATAGAGTAAAGTCTTTGATAACGCTTGATGGCTTTCACGTCAAAGCACGATAACTTGTTCCATCACACAGTGATTCAGGACTCTCTGTTATTCGTGAGCAGTTTTCTTCCGAATATCAGTGACTTTTGGTCAAGTGGAATAATACAACCTATCAGTAACATCATACATTAAATATAACAAATATGCGTATGAACGGCGTAGGTATTGATAACTCATTAGCCGCTCGGAATATACATCATTTTTTCGGCTTCAGACAGACAAAATGAGCATCACTTTCCCATACAGTCAGAAGGCAATGACAGTGAGTGGCAACGAAGTTAATTCATTCATTCAAGGTAGTTATCATCATGAAATGACACCATTTAGAGAACCTTTGAAAACCTAGGAACATCAGACAGGTGTCTCATCTTCATTTAAGCCGACCCTTCAGCAGCGTGCATTAACGACTCCATGAAGAACGAAGCTGATACTTGTCAGGTCTCTCACGGAACACGCTATAACTCAGTTACTGGGTTAGAATGTAATGCTTCACTTTTCCTACCTCTGTCAGTTCACGACACACCATGATTATCTTCTAACGTCATCGGTGGTCATCCGCTTCACCTAAGTTCATTGTTCATAGAATCACTTCAAATTTTACCTAAAATTGTCACTTACCAGGAGGATTGAAAGACAAAGCCATTATAGGAGCACGTGTAGGAGCGTGACATCCACGCTCGTATGCAGAGCTTATTGTATGACGACCACTGTTTGGCACTGGAGGGCCACTACTAGTACTGAGTGCATAATTATCCAATGGAAAATGTTGATTCGCAGAGTTAGATAAGGCCTGAGATGTGGAATCATCTGGTAAACATGATGCATTACCGCTAGAATCATTGCCAACTGCAACATACTCTCCTTCATCTTCATCACCAACATCATTATCATCATCGTCATCATCATCACCATTACTATCGTCCCGATCCAAACCAGTATTCACGTCTAATTTGTTCACATCATCATTTTCACTTTTGTCTCCTCCTACACTGTCGACATCATGCTCGCTTCCTTTCGTCGGACAACTTTGATCATCAGTAGTAGTTAAATTTTCACTTAGTTCCGATTGTGGATTAAAGGCAATCATTGATTTCGCTATCATGGAATCCCCTCTGTTATGATGACGAAAACCACTTTTTAAATGCTTTGAAAAATCACTATCCCCATTGCTTGCAGCACGATAATGACCTGGTCTGCATAAAGTTTTAAACTGTGTTTCCTCCTTTGTGAAATAAAAGATATGAAAGAAAGAGAAGAAAAGAGGAGATATAATTCACTCTCTGAGGAATGAAAGCAATCGGCAATTAAATACTACTATTATTATCATCATTATTTTGATTTCATTGGGAATGAATCTAAAAATAAAATAAATAATAGAACACGTCAATCCGCGATGAATACTCCGCTCAAATTAATCAGCCCATCCCCCTCCCCCCAAAGCCCTTGATTGAATTATAATCCAGGGACTTGATCTGGGTTGAATTTTTCAAAGTTCTACTGATAAGCCATGATCTACATGATCAACCAAGTAGGGAATGAGAATGGATGTCCATTGATGACAGTACATAATAGGTACGCTATATTACCAATTAATAGAAGTTAGAAAAAGTGAATAGTTGGATTTCAATCCAGTGACTCAATGATAACCAAGATTAACAAGAGAGCTGGCTGCCCTGTGGGGTAGTTTGTGGATGTATACCGCTACGATGTCCCAAACTAGGACAAAACAGACATTCAGTGTTGCTACATCTCTAGCTGATATTAAACAATGATGAAAACAACTTTTAAACATGATAAACTAAATACAGTGAAATTCAGGGTGTCACAGAAATTCAAAATCAGTTGATTATCATGTTCCTTAGTCGACTTTTAACTACAAGATCTTCTCAGAAAGATTCGTTTATTCGCAGCTCAATGAATCAGTATTAGACTGTATAACAGTATTTGATATTATTAGCCCAAATACTCAATCTTCGACTAGAAGGTCACGGGTTAGAACCTAGCCTCACCTACCGCAGTTTGGGCAACTAGATAAGATCATGAACTCAAATACAGTAAGTATAGCCCATAAAGTTGGCGCGGAATCATGCTCCTGTCCCTGTCAACCTCAAGCAAAATATTATGCTGCATCATCCTGGAAAGATTAAAAAATGTTCTTGATTCAAAATTACGACCGGAACAGACTGGATTCAAGAAGAACAAATCATGTGCGGATCAAATTGCATCGCTATGCTACGCATTATCATACAACAGCGCATAGAATGGCAGTTAACTCAACCTCAACTTCAAGGACTTTGAAAAGGCCTTCGACAGCGTCGACCGAGAAGTAATTTGGCAACTGCTTCAACACTACGGTTTTAGTGTCAAAAACCTTTATCAACCTCATTCAGCAACTACTGAAGCCTTATGTTCCACTAGGAACCCAAGAGACAAATAATGATAGTAGTCCATAAAGTAGCGTCAAAATCTGCATGAGTTACATGTTACCTACAAACTTTGTAAACTGAGTTTCCGGGTTGCAAAATTAGCTGTTCACTAGATCCGCGCTGATAGTCAACTTCTTGCCGGGTTTCGAACTTTCTTCAACTAACGAATACTTTGCTACATTATTATACGAATGGAAAGATACATGCTTTTGTACTTTTGATCATATGAGCTGTTTAACTGGGTATTTCCTTTTTGGTACTGCATGGTGATTGAAAGTAAAATGGTAATCTGGGTTGCAGTAGGATTCGGAGCAGCGGCCTTCGGGTTACCGGCCTGGTGCTTTACCATTTAAACTATGAGACCCGGTAACCTGGAGGCAACTGGTTGGAATCCTCTCGCGACCGAGATTTTCATTTCATCTTCAACCGTTACCTAATGTCAATATGACAAGTATGCCGAACCATGACTATCGTGGATAGTCAAACCGATATTCTCGTTTTGATCCACTGCCAGATTTTCTTTCGATTTCAAGCATCATTTCGTCACATAATATCATGCAAGTTAGTCTAGTCCACACTAAATTGCTGAAAATCATACGTGACAGTGAAAGGGGATATGTGTATAGGAAACAACTTTCTTTTAAACACCAGGATCTCATCAAATAAATAAACGAAACTCAGCTCACAACTAACTCATGTAATAAAGATTCCATAGCTAAAACTAGTATTCCAAGATAATGACAACACAGTGAAGAATATTTGCAACTTTCGATGTGGATGTTCAACGTAAGCTATTTTCCGACTTACAGTCTCGGTTGGCAAACGTTTCAATGTCAGGCTAGAGATTGTGGTCAGTTCTTCACAAGGAAGCAAACGGAATCGTCTGTGCATGATTATTTACCGCATGGCTACTGTGACTGAGTTAAGCTTAATTATCCGTTTGGTGAGTGTGCGCAGCGCCACACGTCCATACATCCACCAAACGGTCAATAAGGTTAACAAGAAAACATAAACGTTATAGATGGTCAGTGTCGATTTAATGAAGGCTTTTTAGTATTTTAAATAAAAGCACATATAAAAGTTATATCCAATGTGTAATTTTATGAACTCAGGATACCCTAGTCACTAACTGACCTATGGACTATGGGTTCGAACCCGCCCTCCACCATCTGAGCAGCCAGGTAGTATCACTAGCCCCCACACATTGTATGTGGCTCACTGCCTAGTGCACGTATGTGGATGTGGTTGCTGAATGGATTTCAACTTTTTTTCGAGTCAACAATGATGATTTTCCAAACTCCAAAGTGTGAGCAATTAATCTTTGCATTTTTAGATCCTGTGACTAGGTTAGTGCAACTGATCAACCTTTCTAAAGAGGAAACTCATAGACTATAAATAACCGATTAGTTTCACCAGAAAGACGATACACCGAATATCACAATTTCCATTCCGATTTCTTGTGATAAGTGGAACCAAGTAGTTATTGCCTAGAATGTTTGGTTGTGAAGAAAACTGCCCTAGAGAGTAAATGAATTACTAGTATCACCAGCACAACTTTAAATTATACATCATATAAATCAATGAATACATGTCCCCGTAACACAATGCATACGATACATAAGTATACAAGCATACATAAGTGGTGATTGTACAAGTAGCCAGTAGATAAAAGATAATTTCACGCAATCTTCAGACTGTAAAAAAAACGCGAATGTAAAACATGGGAAACAGAAGAACAGTGTAAAGGTGTTTGCGTAAGCTATGTTTGTATTGATAAACACGTGTATACTATACATACACAAGGATGGTGAAGTTGAAACATAGATAAACAGCTAAACAAAGGCGGATTCATGCATAAAAGCACATGCATAGTTTGATGGATGGGTGAACACGGTATAGCGACAAAAACATTTTTTTTCAAAGACATATATATATCTTCACTTCTATGCACAACGAAAATGAGAAGAAAGTAGTTCAGTAAAAAACAAAAATTATGTCAAGCAACCACCTAATTGCAACGCTTCGCATCATCGTAGAACAGAGTATAGAATGGCAGTCCACTGTACCTGTACCTCAACTTCATCGGCTTTGAAAAGGCCTTTGACAGCGTCGATCGGGAAGTAATTTGGCAGGCAGCTGCTTCAACACTACGGAATACCACAAACCTTTATCAATCTCATTCAACAACTATATGAAGATGCCACATGCCGGCCAAATAATTCACAATGGGAAGCCCAGTGATGCCTTTTAAGTGAAGACAGACAGGAGTGAAACAAGGCTGCCTACTATCACCCACAAGAAGAGGAGGGTACGCTGGACCGATCCTAGAAGATTTGAATTTCACCGATGACTTGTGCCTAATGTCATACAAACTTGAAGATCTACAGGTGAAAACTAACAAGTTGACAAAAGCGGCAGGGCAGAGAAGACAGGACTTCAAGTGAACCTAGAGAAGACAGTGGTGATGAAGATACCCAACCAACAACAACAAGCTCCAATCACCATCAACGGGAGAAACTTAAAGGAAGTAATCTCCTTCACCTATCTAGGAAGCACTGCTTCAACTACAGGCGGCGGCACAGGCACAGACGAGGACGTGAAAGCCAGGGTCGGAAAAACAGAAAGACAGGCGTTCATTAACCTGAAACCAGTGTGGAGATCTTCTGCACTCAGCATAAAGAACAACATCCGGATTTTTAACACCAACGTCAAGTCAGTGCTTTTATATGGTGGTTGAGAGACTTGGCGCGTTACGAAAAGCATTTCCAACAAACCACAGACATTCATCAACAACTGCCTACGCTGGCTCGTTACTGAAGATCAGATGGCCAGAATGATAAGAATAAGCAACAAGGAACTCTGGCTGGCAACGAAACAACCAAGAAGCTATCACGCAACAAATATGCAGAAGGAAGTGGAAATGGATTGGGCATACACTGAGAAGGCCGACTGGGGACATCACGCGTCAGGCACTCGAGTGGAACCCCTATCGGAAGCGACGAGTTGGGCGTCCGAGAGGACGGTGACACGGAGATCGTGCAAGGAAGAAATGAGAGCTTGTGGGCTGTCGTGGAGCCAGGTTGAAAAGATTACAGAGAAGAGAGTGAAATGGCGACGTGCTACTGAAGCGCTATGTTCCATCAGGAACCCAAGGGACAAATAAATAATAATAATAATAATCACCAAGAAGGCATATCTAAAAATTCAAAGGAGCCGAAATCCCTTCGGAGATGTGAACTTGTGTAACAAAGTCCTACAATCAGAAGCATTACCACTGAGTTGTTTACATTGCGATTGACCACCTCTTGTCAAATTGACTCATTTTTACCTTTATTTTAAATCACAAGCTCGGTTTACAACCATGGGCACTAAGAGATATCCCATAAAAATTAATCCAGCAACACTTAGAAGATAAAAACATGATACAGAAGGCGGAAAAAATGGAGAATACAAAAATGGGTTATCTGAAGAATCGTTCACCACTTTCGTTTTATTGTTCCGTAAGAGAAAAACGAGAAAACTGTAGTATGATCCTTAGTGGTTTTGATTCAGAGCCATGTCTGATATCGTCTCAAACAGTGAAGCTGTGGCTCATCGGTTTCGGGAGATGACTTCCAACCAATAGGTCACGGGCTTTGTCTCCTGCTCCACCTACCGAGGTTTAGGCAGCGAAGTAGTATCATTAGCACTCACATTCCGTGTGGCTCTTTGCCTACTGCACGATGTGCACAAGGTAGCTGAGCGTGGTTAGGGTAAGCGAACAGTATATGTACCACTAAGGAGAAATCAGTTAAAC